TTGAGAACCGGAATTGATCGACCCCGATACCCTAGCTCCTTCTTTATATATTAAATTTGTGATTCCTAGTTTGCTTGCCCTGTTCAATCACTTGCTTTTCAAATTAGTAGACGATAATCAAATCTCCAAACTTGATTTAGAATGTTTAGGATTTTCACTTCTTTTATTTTCCATTTCTGTGCTTGAATAATCGTACAAAATAATCCGGCTAACCTTCCTTGAGACACGACCTGGTGTTCGAATCTTTTGATTTAACTCCGGTAAAAAGAACTACAACAAAATGGCGCCGTTGCCGGGGAAGGTTTAGGACTTATTTTGTGCGCCTATTCATTTTGTTTTGAGTGTTTCTCTTGTTTCTTGTGATTTTTCTTGTTTCCGCGTTTCTCTTGATTTCTTTTTGTTGTTAGGTGTTAGTTCTTGTTTATTTTTATTTTCTTTTTCTTATCATTGGTGCTCGTAACCCTTGTTGGTCTTAGTGTATGCGTACCAGGAGTGGACGCAAATTGCTATCTCCGATCAACAAATCAGTGAACGAGAGCCTGAGGGAGCTGTTGGAAGAGCTTACTCTCGAGTCTAACGAAGGAAACGAGCACTCCCCGAAATCGTCAGAGGGCAGTAACGTCAACATGGATGAGCAACAGCAACAACCGCCTCGTAACACCCTCCGAACCTTGGCCCAGCCGGTTATCGAGCCAGTCACTTCGTGTATCTGTTTACCAGAGCCCGCACGGAATTATGAGCTAAAAATGATTCATTACAACCAGCTGCCGGCATTCCATGGACTCCCGAGCGAAGACCCGCTTAACTTCATCCGGGAATTCTACAATGTCCTCAACACCTTCCCACTGAACGGGCTGAATGAGGATCAGTTGAAGATGAGGTGCTTCCCCGAGACATTGAAAGACCGGGCCAAGGCCTGGTTCATGACACTTGCACCGGCATCTCTGACCACCTGGACCGAGGTTTACACGAAGTTTATTGGGAGGTACTACTCCTATCAGAAGACTCAGGAGCTCCGGTCACAGATCGTCTCGTTTGCCCAACTACCGAATGAGCCTCTTCACGAGGCATGAGAGCGATTCAAGGATCTCCAGCGACAGTGTCCCCACCACAATCTTTCACCGGGACTACTAATGAATTGCTTCTACGACTCCCTCAACCAGAATTTGCAATACATGGTTGATAACGCTGCAGGGGGAGACATCGGTGCGAAGACAGCCGAAGAGATGTATGAGATTTTTGAGACGATGAGTGCTAATTCGTCTCAAAAGAGCAATCGAGGGAAGAGGGTCGTAGTCAACGAGGTATCTTCTGCTCAAGACATGATGGCCCAGCAAATAGCCGAACTCACCGAGCAAATGCGGCTAATGAATGCACGAGGAGGCCAGTCCATGCATACCATGGCAAGTAGACACATGTGGAGCATGTGGAGTTCAGGGGCATAGATCCGAGGTGTGCCCATCGGCGTTTGACCAGGAGGTAGGAGAACAATATACGGACGTCAACGCCCTTCAAGGTTATCAAAACCAGCAAACCAATGACCCCTATTCCAACACATACAACCCTGGGTGGAGAAATCACCCAAACCTCTCGTGGTCCAACAACAACAATACTCTCCAGCCGCCTCGTCCTAACTTCAACCAACAGCAGCCCCGCCCAAATTTCATGCAACAGCAAAACCGTCCCAACTTCATTCCCCGTCCGAGCTACCAACAACAACAGCAACCACAACAGCAAGTCCAAGGGTCCGGTTCAAGCTCGTCAAATCAAGATGACAAGCTGGATAAGATCCTTCAGTTTATCACAAACCAGGACTCATCTATTAAGCGTCTCGAGACGCAAGTGGGTCAGCTTGCCACGAGAGTCGGGAATATGGAGGCTGAGTCAGACAAAGGAAAACTTCCGAGCCAGCCCGAGCAAGCAAAGGCTATAACAGTATTGAGGAGCGGAAAAGAAGTGGACAACAAAGTAAGAATGCCCGAGCCTGTTGACTCCAAACCAACCGACCAGCCCGAAGAAACCGAGGAGAGTACGAAGAGCACGGAAACCGACTCGGGGAAACCAACAGAGAGTCCTTTGTTGCACAAGTCTCCAAATCCTTACAAGCCACGCATCCCTTTTCCGAGTAGACTCCGGGACGAGAAGCAAGAGCAACAATTCCGAGATCTCTACAACATGCTATCAAAGGTCAACGTCAACCTGCCACTCCTGGACGTGATCAAGACTATGCCCTCGTACGTGAAGTTTTTCAAAGACTTAGTGACGAAGAAGAGGAAATTTGGAGACGGAGAGAAGGTAGTGGTTTACGAGGCTGCGAGTGCCATGCAGCATGAACTTCCGAAGAAAGAGCGAGACCCCGGGGGCTTCGTGATTCAAATAGCCCTTGAAAACGGAAAGGAAGCTTCAGGGATGCTGGACCTGGGAGCAGGGATAAACCTCATGCCATACTCTATCTACCAGCGGCTCGGCCTCGGAGATTTGAGGCCAACTCGGATGTGTCTACAGCTTGCCGACCGATCAATCAGATACCCCAAGGGAATCATAGAGGATATTCTTGTTCGTGTGGGAAGGCTCATCGTCCCGGTAGACTTCGTGGTCCTAGATGTGGGGGACGTTCAGGAGAACGGTAAGGACCATACCATCCTTCTGGGCAGACCATTCATGGCCACCACCAACACCATCATAGATGTGAAGAACGGTACGTTGAACATGACAGTTTTAGGCGAATCCGTATCTATTTCTGTTCGAGAAGCCACTTCCGCATCTTCCGTGAACTTTGTGGAGGAGTGTGCCTTTATCGATGTGATGGACCCGTTCGTTGAGGAGATGACGGTACGGGANCGGTACGTTGAACATGACAGTCTTAGGCGAGTCCGTATCTATTTCTGTTCGAGAGGCCACTTCCGCATCTTCCGTGAACTTTGTGGAGGAGTGTGCCTTTATCGATGTAATGGACCCGTTCGTTGAGGAGATGACGGTTCGGGAGTTTGAAGAAAGGTTGATGCCCGATTTGGAAGATGACGAAGGGCCAACGGTAGAGCTCTATGAAGTCGAGGAATCCCGTGCAACAATTCCATCTCCACTAGAGCTTAAGGAGCTTCCCCGACACCTCAAGTACGTTTTCCTTGATGATGAGAAGAAAAAGCCGGTGATCATCTTTGCCGAGCTAAACCGAGACGAGGAACGAGAGCTTCTTGACGTGCTTAAGAGAAATCAAAAGGCCATCGGGTGGAGTCTCGAAGATATCAAGGGCATTAGTCCGGCCACATACATGCACCGGATAATCTTAGAAGAAGGGGCCAAGCCGTTCCGCGATAGCCAACGTCGACTCAACCCGAACATGATGGAGGTCGTGAAAAAGGAGGTATTGAAGCTCTATGCCGAGGGGCTTATATACCCGGTGGCGGATAGTGAGTGGGTCAGTCCCATTCATGTGGTGCCGAAGAAAGGAGGGATAACCGTGATCGAGAACGAGAAAAAGGAGATGGTCCCCACCCGTATCACTACCGGGTGGCGAATGT